CATAGACTCCCAGATAAGCGCAGGGATTTATTGGCAGGTAAATTGGGAATAAATCAGTAATTTGTTCAAAATCGGAATTTGTTTTAAGTTTACCTGAAATCAGAGGTATTTTAAGATTTGAATTTACCATTGCATTCAATGCAATGATGTTAAACTAAGCTTTACAGCCTTTTTCTCTATATTTGTCCTGTTATGAGAGAAATACGAGTTGCATCTATAAAACTATAACATTAGTCATAACATACCTATAACAGCATGAACTGGGAAATGTTCAATTTCAATTTAGGAATTTTGACTGACATTGCTGCAGACCTGGGGGCTAAATATCAGTCACAGAACAGGCCTAGATAAATAACTGTTTCCTCTGGTATTTAAATTATAGGACTCCCTAAATCTTTATCTTCACCATTTAACTTTAACCATCAAGAAATCTTACAACGCAGTGTCTGCAATGTTGCTGAAAACTTCAACTGTTGCTGAAGGAGGCCATAAAATTGAGACATCAACAGGATTATTTGATGTGGGTCATCAGTGAGTTCTGGTCAACAGTTTGTTGTTGTTTATACAGCACGCAGAATTAGGGGGATCCTGGGGACTCTTTGACTGAAGGTTTGCTGCTACAGTATTTGAATGTGGGGACCCTCTAAACTTTAACTTGGAGACATGAGAACAACACCAAATATTGCACAAAAATAGAACATATTTGGAACATATCCTTGCTCAAGGCAATGAGTGAGTGAGTGAGTTTGGTTTTACGCTGCTTTTAGCAATATTCCAGCAATATCACGGCAGGGGACATCAGAAATGGACTTCACACATTGTACCCTTGTCGGGATTTGAGCCTGGGTCTTCGGTGTGACGAGCAATCGCTTTAACCACTAGGCTACCCGACCGCACCCTCAAGGCAATGAACGAACATCCTCACTGTATTATCACATTTAGCATACTTAGGATCACATAAGTTTATCATACAACTGCAACTGCTCTGTCACAAACATTTATCTTTCAAATACCAGGAAAGTTATCAGGTAGAATTAGTGGAATTTCAAGTCAACCAAAATAATGGTAAGCACATGCTCATGGAATAATTATTTTCAGTTTTGAACATATTATATCTTCCAACTCCTCTTAACGTAATATATTCCATGCATTTGTTTGTTTGTCTGCTGTTTAACACCGCACTCAGCAATATCCCAGCCATATGAGAGTGATCTGTAAATAATCAAGTCTGGACCAGACAATCGGATGAATCCAGAGATCATGGGATACAATGACATGCATCAACCAAGTCAGCGGCCAGACCATCCGATCCTGTTAGACGCCCCTTACGCCATTCATGAGTTACTGATAATCCAGATCTTCACGGGTCTATTCAAGAAATAATTCTGGTCCTTCAATATATATAGCATAAAATCATGAACACATAAAGTATTTCCATGGAATCCATTACAGCCATACAAAAATATATTCAGCTGTTATTGTTCCCCCATGCATTTCAGTTTGGCTCGTATCCAGTCTCTGTCTGTCATGTGTATATTGGACAATTATCCACACAAGTTCAGGTTTGAGGTGCCAGGGAATGGGATAAAATGATTAATCAATAATATAGCAGTATTAAATGCAAAAGTTTATTTCTCGTCCCCACAATGTTTGACTTAGGTAGTCAAAATGTGTTAAGTAACACAGCTTGTGATTGATTAAAACCAAATTACAACCAATCAAAATACGTTATTATAAAAGAGGATAACTCTAATCTCACAACATCGATTCGTTTTGGATATTTATTACATTCTTTTATATTCATCTACAGAAGTAGGAGTACTTTTTTAGTTTAATCAACTAAGAGGTGTGCATATAAAGCCCAGTTAAAATTTCAGTGGCCTTGGGACATTTCAGAACCTTTAGCCCGACCGAAATGTTGCTAGCAGGCAGGCGGCCATTTTGCATACTGATGAAAGCCAAAAGTGATGTAGGTGATTGATGCTGTACTTCTTTGGTGGTTTGAACCCGAGCACAGCAGATCCCAACACAACTAAGGTAAAACTTTAGGCGTCTGTATGTCTATCAAAGGGGATCATATTTCTTATGAATCTGGGAATCAAACCCACTATCAGCCAAGGGAAGCAACTTCGCACATATAGCTGCTGTGTCTGTCCTAGTATCAGTGTCTGCTCTGGCTTAAATTTTCTTGGGGTCACTTGGACCCCTTCATCATAAAAATTAGGGGTCCCAACAAAAATGGATGGGTCCAACTTATAGCACTGTAACATAGCAGATCCCAACACAGCTAAGGTAAAACTTTAGGCATCTGTATGTCTCTGACAGCATCATAATTCTTATGAATCTGGGAATCAAACCCACAATCAGCCAAGTTAAGCAACTTCGCACATGTGTCTGTTCTAGTATGTGTGCCGATGCATATTGTTGGTGAAATGGATAGAGGATATTTCATGTGTCTAGTAAAGTATCATGTTTCCCTCATTCATTGATTGGGGAAAGGAGATATTTTCATGGTACGAGTGAAAATATCTTCTTCCCCCTGTTATAAGATGAGAGAAACATGATATTTCACTCAACACATATTATATTATATACTTCAATGTGACAGACTGAGTATTCTGAAGTTGAGAAAAGTGATATTTTCATTGCAGTGAGCATAACACTTGATATATCACTGCAGTGAACATGACAATTGATATATCACTGCAGTGAACATAACACTTGATATATCACTGCAGTGAACATAACACTTGCTATATCACTGCAGTGAACATGACAATTGATATATCACTGCAGTGAACATAACACTTGATATATCACTGCAGTGAACATAACACTTGCTATATCACTGCAGTGAACATAACACTTGATATATCACTGCAGTGAACGTAACACTTGATATATCACTGCAGTGAACGTAACACTTGATATATCACTGCAGTGAACATAACACTTGATATATCACTGCAGTGAACATAACACTTGATATATCACTGCAGTGAACATAACACAAACACATTTTGACGGAACTATTGTCATACAAGAGTTACCCCGCAAATGTTCATCCCTTATCGTAAGTGTCTATCTAAGCCCATGCACAAACTGTTGACTTCCTTTTTATGTTGATTCCACTTTGACAAGGAAAAAATAATAATAGATGTATACTTATGGAGTTAATATCGCTTCTTGTTTTTTGTTACTCACTTGAAAATGTTTCATTATAAACTGTAAATTTCTCATTTAACTTGTCAATCGAAACAGTTTGTTTTACAAAGCACAATTTTTGTTACTTTACTAGTGTGTAACTTTCACTTCCAACAGGGGTCTTGTAGATTTCAAGAATATATTTTGTTGAAGATGATTTTGTATATAATCATATCCAAAAGTATGATAAAGAATGTTCGTGTATATTGATTGTTACTTCTGTTTATATTTTCTAAGATGTTCAAACACGGAACTACTTTTTAAGTCGCAATGACAAGGGTTGTGAAACACCCCTGCGTCTTAGGTAGGGAGAATTTACGTTTCATGGTTTTACACTTGTAATGAAATAATTAAATTTTCTGGGAGACAACACAAAAAGTATATAATAAATAGGATATTATAAGTGTCTCGTAAAATATAATGTTTCTCTCATCTCGTGGAGAAGAAGACATTTTGCTACTGGCAGAGCTACAGATAAGCAGCGTATTTGCGTAAAATACCCCCCAAAAGTATTCAAAACCCAATTACTTTCAATTATCTTGCGTACAGAAACGCATGTATTAAATAAAAAATTCAAATGTATACAAACAGCATGCACAAATACCTGATAAAGCTTTTTCAGCATGCGTACAACGGAGCTAATTTCCGAAACACAATTACGAGCTTATTTACTTTCCGAGTCAAGCCTATGTTTAGAACAGTTATATACATCTAAAACATTATTTCAGTTTTTGGTAAATCTTAAAATGTTCACTCATTTTTGAAAAACAACAACAATAGAGTGATAAATAGATGAGTGAAAAAATATTGGTCATCCAAAGAAAAATGTAATAACCCAATTAAAATAGAAACCTTCGAGTAAAAACTCAATTTCTCAAAAAGTCATCTGGAGCTCTGTACTTGACAGATGTAAATCCTCTATATGTTATATCAGTTATCAGCAATATTTCATCACAAGCATATCATGAAACAAGTATAAACATCAGAGCTCCAGATAAGCTGTGTATCTGCGTAAAATACGCATAAATAATGCAGAAATACGCAGTAAAATAATATCCAAGTGTATCAAATACGCAACGGACATTACAGATTCGCTACAAAAATAAAACTTGTGCTTATCATCAAAATATTGTGAAGTAACCCTGCGTTTTCGATTAGCAAATCAGCAACTTATTTTGAAATTATAAACGGACATTCCGTCAACCTTGCCCTACTCCACCATGACAGTGACATCATGATAATTTGCCATCACACTTTCTTGTGAAAGTATCGTGGTATTTTTGAGTCCTATAAAGCTCTCGAATCCACACGACACAAGTTTGCAGGGACTAGATGAATAGTGTTTTTAAATATTTAACTTAAATACCCACATGTGTAAAAACTAGTGGGTAACAGAAATTTGAATACCCAGATAGAACTACTGATGCCCAATGATTTTAAAATGCATGGGTAAAATACCCACAACACCAAAAGCTTATCTGGAGCTCTGAACATACTATGATACAGGAACTAAAAACATCAGTTGATTTTTAGTATTTTTCACAGCTGTCAGGGCAGCGGTAGAAACTAACATATTTAGTCCACTAGTCCTTATAGTTATAATGATAACATATAGCAAAACTCTTAAAAATGGCAAATTTCTACTAGTCCTTAGGATACCTTAACTATTGGGCAGTTTGGCAAGGACTACAGGACTGGTGCTAATTTCTAACGCTGCAGGGTCCTTAAGATGTAGGCGAGTAGATTTAGAGGGATCTTTTCCTGCTTTGATACACCTTCAAGCAAAGGTACCTTACCTTGTTTCTGTACACAAGAAGTGCAATGCCTGCGCTGAGCTCAACGATGAACACGATGAACAGAAACCCACAGTACTGCAACAGAGACATATTACTGGTCAAGAGTGGGATTGTTTGTTTCTTGTTTGTTTGTTTTTCGTTAAATGCAGCACTCAGCAATGTTCCAGCTATATGATGGCAGTCTGTGAGTAATCGAGCCTGGACCAGACAATCCAGTGATTGACATCATGAGCATCGATCCACGCAATTGATATACAATGACATGCATCAACCAAGACAGCGAGCCTGACCATCCGATCCTGTTAGTCACCTCTTCTGACAAGCATAGTCGCCTTTTACGCCAAGCATTGGTTGCTGAAGACCTATTCTACCACGGATCTTCTCAGGTCTAAGAGTGAGCTGGGTTTAACAATGCTTTTTACATTATTCAAGTCATATCACTGGTTAAGAGAGTAAGTGTTGTTTTCATTTCAATGCCAGAGTTTGTAATATAGTCTCACTAAGGCTTGCTTATATTTCAGACAAAGAGTTCAGAGTTGAGTCCAACTGAAAGCAAATGAAAATAAAAGCAAGTCGAGTGAGTGAGTGAGTGAGTATGATTTTACGCTGCTTTTAGCAATATTCTAGCAATATCACAGCAGGGGACACCAGAAATGGGCTTCACACATTGTACTCATGTCGGGAATAGAACCTGGGTCTTCGGCGTGACGAGTGAACGTTTTAACCACTAAGCTACCCGAACGCCCCCCCCCCCCGACTGGGAACCATGTGATTGAGAGCAAAATGACCCAAAATGTGTGAGTGAGTTAGTCAGGTTTAACGCAGATTTGAACAGTACTCCAGTTACTTCAGCTTAATGTGGGATCACAGCCCAAAGTGACGAAGGTCTCAGACCTTTACCACTTTGGTGAAACCCATGAACACGGGTTTGGTGGTGACAGACCAAGACACATAATGAGGATTCGAACCCACAATGATAGCTTTCTGGTGTTTCCAAGGGACATATTGCAAATTGCAGCGCCTTAGACGACTGGGCCACCCATGCCCCAACACACTATCAGACTGGCTACCTACTTTAATACACATTGCAGCGGTAGAAATTGACAGTTTTCATCCACTAGTCCTTATAATGATACCTTAACCACAAACTCCCAACTTCCATGACAATGTCAGTCTGCAAAACTAGATACCAGTCCTGTTTGGTCTAGTAAGCTCTGCTAGTAACAGTCTAATAATAACATCAAATCACCATCAAATGATGCTTACAGCCACGTTTGAGCTAGAAGACTCAAAATGGCACAGACTGCTATACTGACAACTAGGATCCAATATGAAGGCCATAGCACATGTTACAGAGTTCCACATGTTATAGGGTTACCAATCATTGTAGCATATGTCAGACAGTGTGCACAGGAGATATACTCAGTGCTGATCTACAATTTGAAGCCTATTTCATCTTTTTTTATCAGCTCTCCGAATTGCAATAGTTGACAATACCATGAAATTGTGAATAATGTCAGTAATTTATCCAGATCTGCTCAGATACAGATGCAGCCAATTTTGGTACCGGTACATCAAACGCTCATTTTTTATTATTATTACGTTGAATGCAATACCTCCTAATTTGAGAAATCAAGAACTTTAACAAGTTTTATCATTTAGAGTATTATTATTTTGGGGTGTTTCTATACTTTGGAATCCTAGATAGTCCCTGAGAGTATTATTATGTAGGGGTGTTTCCATAGTTTGGTATCCCAGATAGTCCACAAGAGTATTATTATATTGGAGTGTTTTCATAGCCTAGAATCCTAGATAGATCCCCAAGAGTATTATTATATAGGGGTGTTTCCATTGTTTGGAATCCTAGATAAAATCCCAAGATTAGAAACTAACAGTTTTAGTCCAAAAGTCCTCATAACGATAGCATATAGCAAAACACATAAAAAGTGCAAATTTCTACTAGCCCTTAGGATACCTTTAGTACTGGGCAGTTTGGCAAAGACTATAGGACAAGTGCAGATTTCTAACGCTGGAATCCTGAGAGTATTATTATAATAGGGATATTTCCATACTTTGGAATCCTAGATAGTCCCTGAGAGTATTATTATATAGGGATTTTTCCATAATGGTATTTGAATACACTGAAGGTCTGTATTATTTGCCCAAGGCAGGTTGTATTGGCAAATATATACCAAGCCAATATGAGAAATCCAATTTGGTAACAATGTAGAAGAATGTATGCTGTTGTGCTTTGAGTGGATGACCATCTCTACCTATACTCACCATATACAACAAGAGGGAGTTTCCTTTAACAGTGCAGCAGCACCCAAGGGAGCCGACCAGGACGATGACCGCTCCAACCCCAATCAGAACGTAGGGAGCCTCGGGCTGGTATATTGAGGACAGTTCCAAGTACTTGTACAGATCCACCTTTGTCCATATCCCAATAGCCAGGATGACTATGCCAGTTACCTGCAAGTAAGACAAAAACGCCCCTATCATATCTACTAACATATTTTCTATACTTTTTTTGCAGTTCACATACTGTTCTGAGAAATGAGTAGCTGCCCAAGTCTCCTTTTGTTTTGGCAGTCAGTGACTTAACCACTTGTCCAAACACCAACTCTAGTGTTAAATAGGACTGGGGCAGGTAACTTGGGTAGTGGGGTCCCGAGTGGGACCGGCAACCCACTGGACTACCCAGACCCTTGGTTAGTCATGTGACATTGTTTCACGACAATAACAATAAAACTCCATGGTTACACTACAAGTCGCTGATGTTTGCATTTCTTTCTGACTATGCATGCATTACTTCTGACTTATATATGATTGCGTAAAGACTGTGCTTCAGTCAACTTTAGTGAGTACAAGATCAGGTCGCTTTATACGTCAGGGTTAGAAACTAACAGTTTTAGTCCACTAGTCCTTATAATGATAACATATAGCAAAACCCTTAAAATGGGACAATTTCTACGAGTCTTTAGGATACCTTTACTATTGGGCAGTTTGGTAAGGACTACAGGACTAGTGCCAATTTCTAACGCTGTGTAACGTGTATCTGAATAGTATTTGCATTGACTCCTTTAAAGCAGTACCCAATTGGAGATTTTGTACCCAACTCCTGAGGCCTACAGAGTGTACCTGGATAGGGTAGGGGGTCCAGTACCATGAGTACTGAGATAGTAAATTTGTCCAAGCCCTAGTATTAAAGATAGTAAAATCTATAGAAAATGGTGAGAAACGACAAGTTCATGCTTGCAAACTTAAACATTTTGAGCACAAACCATTTTAGTTAAAATTATACACAAAATACAAAACAATATCATGTAAAATGTTACTTATTACCTAATTCTTCATGTCATTCACAGCTGTACTCTTAAAGCTCCTCTAAACTGGGTCCTAAAGTCTAATTTATTATTTACTTCATGCCTTCCGAGCTATTTTTATTGTTTCAAATTTGTCAGATGAAGATGTGTTTCTTGTCATGATTTTCTCCCAGAATAATCCGGATATTGATATGACCTTCTCAAGCTTTTAGCATAACTTTGTAGGAATATTAAAATATTTATGATTCAATATCTTGTACAACGTTTTCATCAAAGCGGTTACTTCAAAACAATGGCCATGCAAACCTCGGGTTAACTCTTAGCAGCCATGCTTATGTTACCACTGACACAAGTAGACTTGAGTCTAATAATATTAACTCCCGGATACTTTACATTATCAAAAGCCACTGGACCTCAATGAATTATGAAGACATAATGGCGACCATGTTTAAAGTTTGATTTGAATCCTGTGAGTCGGGTTTAGAGACACCAAATCTGGGATCATTACCATTTTTCAATATGGCCATCGTGTCTGCCATATTGAAAGTTAAATTGGAATTATGTGAACAATGTTTAGAGAAACCTTAGCTGAGGCCTTTCATGCAAAATTTTCTCTCCATCATACTATAGGGAAGGGAATTTATGGATGTCAACTTCTGGAAACTTGTGGAAGGTGGAAACTTACATATGCTCTCTGCCTCACAACACTATTCACCTGATGAAGGAGTAAGCATATACTCCAAAACATTGTGTTCCTCATTAAAAAGAAGTTGACATCCATATATTCTCTTCCTTATGTGTATCACTTCTAAATGCCTTTCAAAGACTCCATTATACTATAAGTAAAGGCCTTGTTGTTTCAGGAGATGCCAAAATGCAGTAACCATTTTAACACTAGCAAAATCCCCCGTGAGATATAAATTGAATAGTATCATTATCCGATTTACCTTCCAGTTGAGATATGAGCGAACATACATACCATCGTCACACTAACACAATAACTTCGTAATCAAGATATTATCTCACAAGATGAGAATTGATTACCGGACCTGTATATAGCGATGTGCATGCACATGTATATTCAGCTGCTAATACCAGCCTGGATCAACAAGAAGTACTATCTTTTAACATTGTTTAGTATGGTGCTCCCAGGGGATCAAACCACCAATTTTCCACACTCTGGGAAGGCATGCTTATCCACGAGACTACAGACTCATTATATATATTTATATTTATAGTCACAGTGAAAGTGGATAATTTGTTTGTGTACTGGGCATGTGAAGGAAATCCTACAATCAGTCTGCATACAGAAATCAGCGATAGAAACTAACAGTTTTAGTCCACTAGTCCTTGTAATGATAACATATAGTGAAACCCTTAAAAAGGTCAAATTTCTGTTAGTCCAGATGATGCATGAACTATTGGACAGCTTGGCAAGGACATAGGACTAGTGCCTATTTCCAACACTGCAAATATGTCTGATAGGCTGAAAACAGCTGCTACCCTACATCATGGCTATCAATTATACACATAATATATGACAAATATTATGACAATTGGTTTTATTCATATTATTCATTGTGATTATGTTGGGTTATTTTTTTACATATCTATTGCATGATATTGTTTACAAGATTTCTGGCAGCACACGGACTAATTATTTGATGTATCATGTATATAGTCCTATAGATAATTATAAGTGAGTGCTTGAGTGAGCATGGAGTAACGCCACTTTTAGCAATATTCCAGCAATATCACGACGGGGGACACCAGAAATGGGCTTCACACATTGTACCCATGTGGGGAATCGAATCCGGGCCTTCGGCGTGACGAGCGAATGCTTTAGCCCACTAGGCTACCACCCCACTGCCCCTCTCAGCTTCTGAGATGGGATCAACTATCAGGTTCTGAGAAGGGATAAACTATCAGGTTCTGAGAAGGGATAAACTATCAGGTTCTGAGAAGGGATCAACTATCAGGTTCTGAGAAGGGATAAACTATCAGGTTCTGAGAAGAGATAAACTATCAGGTTCTGAGAAGGGATCAACTATCAGGTTCTGAGAAGGGATAAACTATCAGGCTCTGAGAAGAGATAAACTATCAGGTTCTGAGAAGGGATCAACTATCAGGTTCTGAGAAGGGATAAACTATCAGGTTCTGAGAAGGGATAAACTATCAGGTTCTGAGAAGGGATCAACTATCAGGTTCTGAGATGGGATCAACTATCACCTTCTGAGAATGCTTTGATGATAAAAATGGGAAGTCTGTTCAAATCTGAGTAATTTTCAATAGTTCTATGAACAAATGGGACATGATGTCCATCTTGAATATTGCAAAGAACCTTCTATAGGATTTGTTGCAGGTTTTATCCTTGTCCTTATAAATCCATTCATTCCCCATGTTTGCCAAAATGTGAATACTTAGAGGTGTTCATGGCCTAATGTAGTCAGTGTATCCAAGATAATCAGGAATGAGAATGGATATTTTCCTTTTCAGCTGACATGGCTTTTCAATGGAGCGTGGTCCATAATGTGGGGGTATTTATAGGGGGTTCACCAGAATTTAACAAAGTGTTTACTAAAATTCGCAGAAGATTCTTATCCCTGGATAATGTTCATTTTGTCACTCTGCAAGGATTCACATGGGGTTTTAACATCTTCATAGTGTCCATTGTTCTCTATGAACATTGTCAGAAAACTGACTCAAAATAGGATGCATTATCCACTATGATGTGTTCTGACATTCTCGAGAAGTTTCAGCTGTGTACTGTTTTGGAGTCATCAAAGATTTCAAACGGAGCGCCCTTGGCAGGCAAACTGGGGGAAAAATTGTGATAATGCTCAAAATTGGATTTTTTAATGTTAATATTCACATAAATTCGGAGGAATTGGGAATTTGAACTGACATTACTTTAGACTTGGGGCTGAATATTAGTGGTGTTACGATACATCAAACCATCGACTATCAATAGTTAATTTGTTTGGTACATTTACTTTCTTAAAAAAACATAGAAACAACTCCTATGATCATCTAACCTCTGTCGTGCTTTCGTTTGGATTGCACTACTTTGTCTGCTTGATTTAGAATTACGTCGCTAGGCAACATTGACAAGATGGTGGACGCCACATGTCAGTTTTTGTCAACTTTGTTTCCTAATTGATATGTTGAATCGCATTTAGTCATTCAGTGAATGCCAATGTGACAATTAAAGAGTTTGACAGTTTGTTTAGTCAAATACTAGTCATTCAATCACATTCATTCACATTGGTGCTAAAACACTGCAGTAACCTAAGACTTTACCAGTTACATCAAGTGAAATTTTGTATTAAAATGTTTTTGAGAGGTCAATTTGAACTTGTTTTCTTCTCATTTCTTTTTTTCTTTACAAATAGTATCAGAAAGTTATAATTATTTTGATGGTGTCAGTCAAAATCCTGAAATATATGCTGCATAAGCCTGCTATAATTGCAAGTGAAAGCTATCGCAATAGTAGGGCCACTATCGCAATAGTATCGCAATAGTTGTTTTAACTATCGCAATAGTCAAAAATGCCTCAATAGTCACCCCTACTGAATATCGTCTTTCTGAGGTCTATACAAATCACTGGTTTGGGGTACTTTTTTTATGTTAAAAGGTTTATAACAAAGGACAATTGTATAATCAGGGACAAATACTGTATCCACATTCATGAAAACATTCTTTATGAAATTGCAGTGTTGGCTGAAGAGCGCGTTTTTGCGTCTTGGACGCACAAAAATAAGTTTGAACGCACCTGCGTAACATGTGTGGGTCTCGTGGACGCAGTGACTGGGGCTATATTAATTTCATATCGAATTGACACTGTTATCGTAAATCAAAGACGTACGTCTTTGCGCAAAGGTATTTGTTGCCAAACAAGACAGCAAAGCATGTGGATTAACACTTCCGTTTGCTAAACCAAACCAGTTTCATTATTCTTTCCCTTTTTATGACAAATACCCAAACCGGTTTCTTGACCTATATCTATTGTCGGTTTTGCATGTATTAATTTTCGGTATGGTCCGTAGCTTTGCTTCAGCCAATCAGGTGCCACATATTAAGCAAGTCGGATATAGTCATATTTAATTTAGCTTGCTGATTGGTCGAAAATATCCTGACCTTGTGTCAAACTAAAAATAGCCAGGCACATCAAGGGTATACTTCAGAACGTGGTAACAGTGACCCGCGAAATCGAGCGACCGTGTAGGATGATATGCTATGTTATCGCGGTAGTTAATTTATAATGGATCGTAGTGGGGCACGCTTACAAACTTATTAAATATGTGATTCACAAAATGTTTGTTGTTCATTGGATTGATTGATGCTGATTTTCTTTCCCGAGTTCGGTAAACAAAGTACCTGTCATTTGTGAATCTTACCGCAGTAAGTAAGGCTGTGTGGATTATATGGTATATCACTTCCTGTTTCGAATTTTGCATACGACAGAGGTTTGGTCAAGGGACTTCGTTTGAACAAATGGGTTCTTTTTCTAATCAATTTTGAATGGAGGAAGGGGTAATTCCACTTCAAAAACATCCCAGGAACTGTCATAAAAAAAGTTAACGTGTGTACAAGTAGCCGTGACATACCGCAACGAGTCCTGTATTCGATCATGCGATGAAATATATCGTGCTTACATTTGCATAAGTAAACAGTCGACAGGTTGTGTGGATAACGAGATTTATCAATACCGCGATACTGTATATGATAAAGAATGAATGCGAACACTTGAATGTACAATGATGTAAGCATTGTTTTTATTTAGCGGACTCTGAATATTTAGTTATTCTACAACAGACTTATCAAGCTGATAATAATTCATTCTCTTGTGAGTTATATTAAGAATTGCAAAACACATTTTACCAGGTCCGTTATTGGTGTAACTGACATGTTTAAACATTTATAGCACCTGAAACTTGTTGACTAGATTTATCAAGGAAATGCTGGATCCTGAACATACTCTTACTAAAAAATGACCTACTTACTAATGACCCCTTACCAATGGCTGACCCGTGTACTGCCTTTTCATATACGAAGTTAGATATTAACATGGATAATTTTGTGTTATAATATTCATTAATATCAAATGTCCCTTTTAAGAAATTGTTTGTCCCTTAATGTAAACCTCTTGGTCATGAGAGCAGGATGTGCCCTGATGTGAACCTTTCTCTCACTTTGCCTGTTTGTTGATATTTTGCAGTTGCGAAAAGATTTCTTATTTTTCACAACCACTGTGTTCTGTTGTTAATGTTATGTTATAATGCTTTAAATTGGACCCCTTCATTTTGTTTGGGACCCCTAATTTTATGATGAAGGGGTCCAAGTGACCCCAAGAAAATTTAAGCCAGAGCAGACACTGAAATTGTATGGAAATATAACCTTGAAAATAGTTTTTGTCACATTGACCAATAGGGGACTCTAGATTGCTCCTTCGTCTGTGGCCTTGTCTTTGTCTAAACTTACAGTTTGTGTTATACAAAGTTATAAACTTAGTGTCATGAGTGAACTGAGACATTGTCTGTGTAACTGAGACATTGTTAACTGTTATAGTTTGATCAACTGTATAAAGTAATAAGTGCCCAAGCTGCTCCCAAAATTAAAAACAGGGGGCTCTATTTGAAAAAAAATACAGAGCTGAAAGATCGTAAATTTTTTGGTTTATGCTGACAGCCTGAAATGATACAAAAGAAAAGTCTGTGCGTATTATACACAACAGATATATATTTCCAGAATTTAATTGCCCATAATTGAGGGTGCATGGAACACACAAGTGCGTATTATATTGATCAATTGGAAGAGGTGCTAATTGGGATTGTTCACTAGCCAATATATTAGCAAATATCGCCGTAGGCACTTACTACGTCGAGTATGGTAGGTGACTATAACAGGTGAAATTTTAGGAGGACTTGAAACAAACTTGCCAAGCAGCATTATCAGTCTGTGACATTAGCCACTGGTCTGTCACCCAAGTCAAGACTCCAGTAAAATTTCTTTCAGCCTCGTAAACATTGCATATAAAAGTCCATACATTAACACTATAAGATCTACTGAAAAGGATGTCAACAGGTCAAGTGATATGACAGGTTCAGGCTAGTAGGTCTACGCAAAAGTGTTTGACACAAACTGCATTATTGATTCTGTTTTGTAAACTCAATAATCACACTGATAGTCAAGATCTCTGTAAATATGTGTGAAAGTATGCTTGTGTGTTTGTCATATGTTGTTTGTTTGTTGTTTAATGCTGCACTCAGCAATATTTCAGCTGTATGAAATTTTCGAGTCTGGACCAGACAATCCAGTGACTGAGTATTGATCTACGCAACTGGAATACGATGAAATGCATCAAACGATTCATCAAGCCTAACCACCTGGGCCCACTTGCACAAAGCAATCTTAGCGCTACAACTATTGTAAGCCTATGTTAAAGTATGGGAGTTACGATCATCTTAGCGCTAAGATCGCTTTGTGCAAGTGGGCCCTGATCCTGTTAGTCACCTCTTACAACAAGCATAGGTTACAGAAGATCTTTTCTTACACGGATCTTGGATTGTGTTTGCCAGATATATGGTGTGTTGCATGATCTTATATTTATTAATCCCATTAATAATATGTACATATAGTAACACTTAAAATCTAATAAAACACAAGCGAATCTAACATTTGATTTTGTTTGTTTTTTTTACTGTTGTTTAACGCCGCACTCAGCAATATTCCAGCTATATGACGGCGGTCTGTAAATAATCGAGTCTGGACCAGACAATCCAGTGAATGACATCATGAAATCTAACATTTGATACATAATTCGTGTGCCATCCCTGACATGATATTTCTGACACAATGTCTCAAATACGTTAGTGCCAGTAGCTGGCAGCGATACGTTGTCATGTGAGTAGAATGCCAATGGCGTTGTAATAATCACCGTGGATGCAATATCAAGAGTTGATGCTAAGCAGCTCGACTTATGGCAGAATGTAACTATTCGTCATGATTTTATATCTAATTCATTAAACAACTCAACTGCACAAAAAACAATCGATGATGGCAGAATTAAGTATAAATCCTCAACAATCAGCAATCATTAACATAATTATGCTTACGCTATGTCACGTTAGCGCTGTCGTCATTTCAGGGCCAGGGAAATTGTACGACAGTTCCTAAATGATTGCAGAAAGTTCTTACCCAGAAGATGAAGTTAAACACCATCAAAAGTGTCTTCATACATGTTACAATTGGTGCTGTTGAAAGCGACGACTGATACTGCCCTTTCGTCATGATGTTTAGTCGACTGTTTTCTCCGAGCTGTCAAAGTATTTTCGCAGTCTTGCCACTGCAGACAGGATGTCAGGTGATTAAGATATCACGCATGCGCAGACGCTAGAGATGTAGCAGACGACACGTGAGTTTGACAGGTGCTTGTTGGGTTGAAACCTTCTAATCATGCTAATAGGGGCAATATGTCGGAGATGTCATGTCTTCAGCAATGGTGTAATATTGTAAAACGTGTTGAGTTGATACTTTTTTAATTAAAAGATGTAGATTAATTGTCAATAATAAAAAACAACATTTGGTGATTATAAAACCAGACCTTTTTTGTCTATAGATCTAGCAAAAATTAACATATGCTAGACTAACAATTGATCAACCAAGAACCAATAACGTGAAATACAAAACGTGTTGATGTTTACTAGCTTATTATATTACTGATTTGTTATATTTGTGATTTGCCAATCATAATAGTCATTAAATTTGGCAAAAATGTTTATATGCATCAAAGATGGACAATCAATTACATTAGTTTATTATTAAAATACTTTCCCTATGGAATTGTCTTGTGGTGCTGTAGGTAGAGGGTGGTGTTCATGGACTTGAAAGAAGGAATCTCTCAGCAGCCCCCAGGCACGCCATCATGGTGACGTCTCAACCAGGCCGAGAACTTCATCTCCATAGATGGTAGGGATAGTGTAACTGTTGTATCTGTTTTCGCAGGTAGATTAGATAGGATCTCTCCTTCTAAAAAGGGGGATCGACGGGATGGTTGTAGATCAGGTCCTCAACTGTTTTGACCCTGGTGGAGAATACCTTGTGTTGCCAAGTGTTCTCGCCATGATTGTGTTGAGTTGCCGCTGATTGCGTACAGCCATTTGTCAGTGACACTTGACACTGAGTGAGATTTCTCAGTTCATTAATTAGTGGTAGATGGGCTTGTCAGTGATCAGATATCAGTTTGCTATATACGTTCGTTCACTGTAGAGAGTTTGTTATGTACATAAGTTTTATATGATAATATATATAGGAGATAATTCAGGGATATTTTAAGAGGTCGTTGTATCCGTTTGTTCGCTCTATCCGTGTCCTACTGTAATTCTAAAGTTTATTTACCATACTATATCACTAATCCCTGTGGAAGGTTTAATTTGTCATGCTTTCTTAGGCTTGATGTCATCAAACTGTGGGTACATGTGCACATGTCACTATTACGTTTACAGCAATTTATTTATGTGACACTGGCAGCAGACCAACCTATGTAGTGGTAGTAGCTAACATTATTGCAAAACCCTTAAAAATGGCAACTTTCTACTCGTCCATATGATACCTTAACTACTGGGCAGTTTAGCAAGGACTACAGGACTAGTGCCGATTTCTAAAGTTGCTATGTTTCAACTTGATAAATGTATGGAATCAATCAAGTTCTCTAAATCGAACCCTGCATGTAGTACATTTGGACTCGTCCCAGACCTCACATCAATCAGGCAGTCAACTAAGTGCCATTTGCTACTAAGAGGGGGCATGGCAAGTCCAGTAATCTAAGGTGCCGAAATTTGCAAAGTTGTGTCCCTCAATCATACTAGAAGCTATGATCGTGAGTTTGTTTCCCTGTTTGTCCTGAATATATTTCTAGGTTTGTCAGCACCATACATGTGCTGGTTGGTTTCACCGAAGTGGTAACAATCTGAGACCAGCATCTTTTCAATCTTCCTTTCCAGATCAAGCTTACGTGCCATAACTGAAACAACCTTCAAAGTAGAGTTAAGCCAAATTCCCTCACTCATGCTACAAAGAGTGAGTGAGTGAGTATGGTTTTACGCTGCTTTTAGCAATATTCCAGCAATATTAGGCGGGGGACACCAGAAATGGGCTTCACATATTGTACCCATGTCGGGAATTGAACCCGGGTCTTCGGCGTGACAAGCGAATGCTTTTACCACTAGGCTACCCGACCGCCCCTGCTACAAAGAGATAGCTCTATTCCTATTTTGCCAATTGATGAAAACAATGTGGACTTGGATGGTGTGCCTTGTGGTTTGTTTCCCGAACAGAAATCTTTTCACTATGTTTTCAGAACACTTTGCATACATATCAACCAGATGGTACATTTCCTCGTCGTGCCGAAGACCCTGGGTTCGATTCCTGACATGGGTACAATGTGTGAAGCCCATTTCTGGTGTCCCCAACCATGATATTGCTGGAATATTGCTAAAAGCCGCGTAAAACCATACTCACTCACTCACACACTAATTTTGATGATGATGAGTTTTACATAACTGGCTGCCTAATTTAATGCATCACCATGACAAATAGGTATGAGTTCTTTTTGAAAGTTTGAGGTCGTGGTTTTGGATGTCCTGTTAAATAAGTTCTGTGGCCAAAAGAACATGTTTGGTTCCTCCTGGAGTAAATAGTGAGTGAGTGAGTTGGGCTTAACGCCGCTTTGAACAGTATTCAGTTATATCATGGCGTGTCAGCTTAATGTGGGAGGAAAACCAGGAGTGACGCAGGTCTCAGACAGTCACCTCTTTCGTGAAACCCATGAGCATGGGTATGGTGTTGACAAATCTAGAAACATTATCGGGGCAAATTCAAACCCACAATCATAGGTTTCTGGCACCCTTGAAGTAAATATATATAGTAATAAATTTTGTGTCTTGAAGCAGCAAGCATATTTTCTCTCTCTGAAATTTGATGCCGTTTAGAATAATAAATGGCTAGCCTCTGAATAACAATATGTGTTTGTGCATATTTTGTAAAGCAATAAATTAGATACTAGGTTAGATAAATTAGCCCGGAAGTAAGGCATGATTGTGTACATGGCTTTGCATACGAGAATATGCATTACCTTTAGTATGTGTGACCTGCATTTATGTACATGATCCATTCTGTGAATCATATCTTGTCACTCAACTGATGCCAACATATTCCAGATTATAGGTAATACTGTACCAGTAACTTTTTTCTACGATTTCTATATTCTCATTTCATTTTTAGGAGTGAAAATAGCACCTGAAGAGTTTAGTCTTTGTATTGAATAATATCCTATTCATATTATGATGGATGCACTGATTTTGGGTGGCTCAGATGATAGTATATTGAGTATAGGGTTTAACATATACTGTCAGTGACTACATTTATAGTGATCGTCGTGGTCATTATTGATTTAGGGTATCTTTGAGAGCTGAGCATTTGATCTAGTCAGGGGTGGAACACTGATGTATGGGAACCAAGGCAAAACAAGACCGAACAATGTTAGAAATTGGCACTAGCCCTATAATCCTTGCCAAAGGACTAGTAGACATTCGCCCCTTACAAGCGTTTTGCTATATGGGTCATTCTGAAAAAAAGTGAGATGTTTAGTCCGAGTTGAATAACAATTAAAATATTTAATTTAGATATGTTTAAAAACAAGTGTTAGGTAGAACATACCATGGTGTCTGAAAGTTAAGTTTCAGTAATTCTTATTATGTATTTTATTTTAATTAAAACTGCTTAATTGTGGTTAAATTGAGCTGAAGGGTGTGTCGGTAACCTTAAGGTTGCACATCAACATTGTTTGATGTTGCTAAAAATAAAACATATTATGTAAAAAAATGTTTATATAGTGTACATTACCTTTTGAACTCATGAAATAAGATGATCTTTTAAATATACACACTTTTATTTATATTTGTTTTTGGTAAGAAACACTTGTACATAAAAAAGTGTCTTTCCTGTTACCAGGATGGATCAAAACTGAAAAATAAATAATCCTTCAAGATTCCCATAATTCAAAATAACAGAAATACAGCTTACTTCCTGTACTATCATGGCAGCAGTGTCCTTCAAGTGAGAGAATAAAACTGGATAAATTGAGAAGAAGTTTGAAATGCTTGTCCCTACCGATGCCTGTTGTAGTGAGTGAGTGAGTGAGTGAGTATGGTTTTACGCCGCTTTTAGCAATATTCCAGCAATATCATGAGCAATATCCTTTCCAGATCACGCTTACGTGCCATAACTGAAACAACCTTCAAAGTAGAGTTAAGCCAAATTCCCTCACTCATGCTACAAAGAATGAGTGAGTGAGTATGGTTTTACACCGCTTTTAGCAATATTTCAGCAATATTAGGCAGGGGCCCCAGGAATGGGCTTCACACATTGTTCCTATGTCTGGAATCGAACCCAGGTCTTCAGCATGTAGAGTGAACACCTTAACCACAAGGCTACCCGACCGCCCCTTACCTGTTGTAAGAGGCAAGTAAATGGATCAGGTGGTTTTGTTCAATGACTTTGTTGATTGCATTATATTGTATAAATTCTATGTGTGGATAGATGCTCATGATGTCAATCACTGGATTGTCTGGTCCAGACTTGATTATTTACAAAGTTGGAAGTGGGACTCAACATGTATGAATTTTTTGTTTTTACCTCGATTTGATGTTTGCATCCTCAAAATGCATTTTTTTCTCTGTCAAACATTGTATCTACCATAACTGCCAGATTGAGGTTTGTTTGTTTGTTGTTTAACACAACATTCACCAATATTCCAGCTATATGACAGTGGTCTGCAAGTTATCCAGACTTGACCAGACAGTCAAGTGGTTGACATCAGAAGAAGCGATCTGTGCAACTGAAATATGATGACATGCATCTATCATGGGATAACATTTATACTAAGTTATCTTATAATAATTAGATCTACATCATGTGCTTTTATGAATTATCATGGAACTGTTCTGGGTGAACAATACCTTCCAAAAGGCGTGCTGGTTTTCTTGGGGAATTAGTCAGCAAAGAGCCAGAGTCACAGGAGACTAATCACAATTTTATTTACAAGAACAATTAACAATTTACAATATACTTAGATAATAACTGAGGGTGCCACAGAGAGTCGGTACACACTCTGGGCTGTGGGAGAGAGGTCTGCTTGGTAATAGAGTCAAACCCCTTCTCTCTCTTTTCTCCTTCTTCCTCTGACTGACTGACTGATATAGAAGATTTAACGTGCGCTTTCCGACTGCAGCGTATTTCGCACACGGGCCTGGCCAGACCATTTAGTGTATTCCGAGAAGGGTGAAAGTGGTGTGTGCAACACAAGAAGGGGCTTTTAGGGGTTGCTTATATCGATTTTTGGAAATTTTAAAATTTGGAATAAATGCCGAGGTGGGTGGAGGAGGGAACTAAGGGAGCCGGGTGAGGTGGGTGTTTGTATGTTTATTGGATTTTGGATTGGTAGATTAATTAGTTTTTAGATGCGCTTGATTAGGCCTGTTTTGATTAGGAATACGCCTAGGGCCTTGAAGTTTTCTAGTTTATTTTGAGGGTTTAGTATTTCATCTAGAGTAGGAACCTTATTTAGATTGAGGTTGGTTTGTAGTGTGGTTCTGTGTGTTTGGTAGTGGGTGCAGTGGATGAGTGCGTGTTCTGTGGTTTCGGGTTGTTTGCAGTGGGGGCAGTTGCCTGTGGTGTGTCTTTTAAGTTGTTTTAGGTGGTTATTTAGGTTCGTGTGTCCTGTTTGGAGTTTTGTAATTAATCTGTCAATTTTTTTTGAGGGGTGTAGGATTTTAGGTTTGGCTAGTGGTTTTCTGAGCACTTTTTGGATTTGGCTATTTGAGTTTTGATATTGATTATGCCATTTTTGGTTATTTTTTGTTTGTTTACACTTTTAATTTCTGATTTTGAGATGGGTAGGTTTAGGCTTATTTCTGGTATTTTGAGAGATAATTTAGCTGCTTTATCGGCGCTTTCGTTGCCGTAAATTCCTACGTGGGCGGGGATCCACAAGAAGGTTATTTGTTTGCCTGCTTTTGTTAGGTCGTTGGAGCTTTTAAGTATTTGGTTTATTAATTTAGGTTGTTTTTTGGTATTTTTGTTTTGGAGGGCTTGTAGCCCACTAAGCGAGTCAGTGAGAATTAGGATTTTTTTGTTGTTTTTTGATTGTTGGTTATGCAGGGCTGAGGCCATGCCCATAAGTTCGGCCGTGAATATAGATTGGTTGTTAGGGAGTCGGTAAGATTGTGTGGATATAACTGGTTGTGTGGTATGGACTCCGAAACCTGTGTGGTTGGAGATCGGGTCTGAAGATCCGTCAGTGTATATGTGACACCAATTTGGCCAATTTTCGTGTATGTATGAAAGTGTGGTGGTTTTAGCTATGTTTGGGTCGGTTTGTTTATTTATTTGGTTAGTTAGCGTTGTGTCTATTTGGGGTATTTTGAGTTTAGGGGTGAAGATATTTGATTTTTTGCAGTTTTGTTTAAGATTTTGAGTTTGGTGTTCATTGAGGTAGTTAGTTATTCTTTGGGATATTGGGGTATTCCTTCTTCCTCTCTGGACCAAGGCTTATATAGCCAAGGTCACCTGACATTTAGTAAGTAATAAATATAAATGTAAACAGTAAATCATCAGTGACATACTTGCACATCCTGTTCAGGATGACAGACGGTCGATGTACACAAAACTGGGGATTAACAATTAGAATTAGCATCTTATAAATAACAGCAATTAAATGTTTCAAGGTATATAGATGTCATGGCTCCAGGGTAATGAACCTTTGCAATCAAATGTTCTTCAGACAATGGGTGTCGTAAATCAGTCACCATGACACATCAACCAAGTCAGTGAGCCTGACCACCCGATTCCGTTAGTCGCCTCTTACAACAAGCAGTCACCCCGTACAAGCATGGCATACTGAAGACTGAGGTAGCTGAACTTAAGCATGGACAGTGACATCATATTTTGTTTAAATCATCAAGATTTTAAGGTTAGTCTTTTGTTAAATAATTCAAATTTCACAAAACATTTTCATAATCATTTTGTACTTGAGAACCATATTGTTTAGATAGCTGTTCCTTTGTCTGCATGAACATGGCTGTAAGTAGATTTAAAGCATTGTGGACACATACACATGCAAAAGTTTTTCTCTGTTTTTAAAAATCTGTGGAACCAATTTTGCAGAATATTTTCAATAAGTCCTTATCACTGGTGCAGAAATTCTGAATATGTTTTGATATCATTTTGAGGTAGTCAAGTAGCCTAGTGGTTAAAGCGTTCGCTCGTCACGCCAAAGACCCCGGTTCGATTCCTGTCATGGGTACAATGTGTGAAGCCCATTTCTGGTGTCCCCCGCCGTGATGTTGCTGGAATATTGCCGAAAGCTGTGTAAAACCATACTCACTCACGCACTGATATCATTTTAAAATGTGAGTTTCCCATGTGGGTGACCTGAAGTACCACGTCACTATTTTTCAATGTTCTCGTCCATTGAAATAGAAAGCCTGTCAATGGCATGACAGTAATAAACTGCACTTATAAACCTATTCATTGGGATCGCTATTACGTAAGAGACTTCTTTCTATAGGCATTAAAACCTATATAAAAATGTTGATAAATGTTGTTTTAAGTTTCTTTTTTCGGTTTATAAGCATGGAAAAACACTTTCCCTCGGTTTTGGTACACAGAGCATGCCCTGGGGGTCGGGAAAAACCGCCCCCTTGGTTTTTCCCTCTCCCCAGGGCATGCTCTGTCTACCAAAACCTCGTGAGCGTGTTTTCTCCAATACATATCTACTGGGAAATTGACAGACATTTCTATCTTATCTTTTCTCTGTTTTAAAAATCCGTGGAACCAATTTTGCAGAATTTTAGCAGAAATCAACATTTAGCAGAAATTTCACAGAAATATTTTCAATAAGTCCTTGTCACTGGTGCAGAAATTTTGAATATGTTTTGATATCATTTTGAGGTAGTCAAGTAGCCTGGTGGTTAAAGCGTTCGCTCGTCACGCCGAAGACCCCGGTTCGATTCCTGACATGGGTACAATGTGTGAAGCCCATTTCTGGTGTCCCCCGCCGTGATGTTGCTGGAATATTGCCGAAAGCTGTGTAAAACCATACTCACAATGTGAGTTTCCCATTCGGGTGACCTGCAGTACCATGTCACTATTTTTCAATGTTCTCGCCCATTGAAATAGAAAACCTGTCAATGGCATGACAGTAATAAACTGCACATATCTACTGGGAAATTGACAGACATTTCTATCTTATCTGAAGGATTACAATCCTGAAAGACTTTGATAACACATCCAGGGCTAATTCCACACACTCATAGTAAATATAATGTCTGGCATTAATCTCTAGCTTAATGATGTATTTTTATGACACACACACCTGTTACATTGTAATTCCAGAATTACCTGACAGTGCAGGAGTTGAGGTACACCACAAGGGTATCAGCAGTTAGAAGGGAATAATTGGGTCATCAGCTTTATAGATTTTGAAGCACTCCCTTGCCTTATTTCGTGTCATTGGGACACAAGGCTGGCCCCACTGCATTGTGTGGTAGTCTCTCAACAACTCACCAAACTCGGCCAACCAACCATGTTCTCCACAGTGGCAAGAAAACAGAACCTTCATTTAGTCTTCTTTTTGAAACGACTTTCTGCAAAATGGCTATTCTCTCAGAGGGTTCAAGGACTACAGTCATCTGCTAAACTCACACCAAAGCCTCCCAGGACTCAACTGTTTACAAGACAATCGAGAAATCAGGTCCGATTTGCATCTTCAGTCTCACAAAAGGATGATGGATATTTGGTGATTCAGTACGGAGAAAGAGAAGTTGAGCTGCCATATATCTGGTTGCGAGATCACTGTCGGTGTGAGACGTGCTACAATCATACCACTTGTCAGAAGAATGTTGATAATTACACTTTGTCGGCTGATCTATCACCTAAGAGTACCCAGTTGGAAATGGAAGGGGAGAGGCTGAAGCTGGAATGTGGGTACCATTTCTGTTTGTTTGTTTGTTGTTTAACGCCGCATTCAGCAATATTCCGGCTATATGACAGCGGTCTCAATAATCCAGTCTGGACCAGACAATCCTGTTAGTTGCCTCTTTCGACAAGCATAGTCGCCTTTTACGGCAAGCATGGGTTGCCGAAGACCTATTCTACCCTGGATCTTCACGGTTAGGTATCATAAGTGTAACTTATTGTGTATATTTTAAAAATTTGTATTGTTAGTTAGTTGCTAAAAGCCGCAGGGCATGGAGTCATCCCACAGATGACATCCTTACCTTGTCAGCTTGCAGATGGGGTAACCTTGTTAGTCATGTGGACAAGGTGTTCCACCTTGGATCAGAAGGTCAGTGGTTCGAATCCCATCATGGGACTCGGAAATGTTATGGCGGCTCACTTAGATCTACACAATTGAGATACGATGACATGCATCACTCACTCACTATTTCAGATGAGTTTGTATTTTGTACATAGTGGTGTAGCACAGTAAAACCGCCGTGATTCGCTGTGCAGAGTTGCGTCCCTTGGGCATGCTTGAAACCTATGATTGTGGGTTTGAATCCCGGTTTGCCCCAATTATGTTTCTAGGTTTGTCAGCACCATGCTAAACGTCTGAGACCTGCATCACTTTGGGCTTTTCTCCCACATTAAGCTGACATGCCACGATATAATTGGAATATTGTTAAAAGCGGCATTAAACCCAACTCACTCACTCACTCTTAACCATATGAGTACAATGTGTGAATCCCATTGCTGGTGTCACGATGGGGTCGTGATACGATATGATCCTGATGCTTTGCGTCTGATACGATTGGTATTGTATCATGGGCCTCGTATTACGATATAATACTGTATCACCACAAGTGTCACCACTGTTATTGCTGGATTATTGCTATAAGTGGAGCGAAACAAACCATCACATAGCCAGGGGCACAAAAACATACATTTTCTGTGAATTTGGTTGGGAGAAATAAAGTAACAATAAACAAAATGTATGAGGTGAGAGATTTGCTTTTATTAATTACTGAAATGTTTTTCCACTCAGCAAATAATGATTCTCCAAATTCAAACACTGTGCAATTAGAACAAAACAAAGAATGTTTTTTGCCCTAACCATCTCCTTTGCCTTGTGGACCAGCATATGTTGTTGCATGATCATATGTAAATATATTCAGGGTCCGACGGACATCTCACCCACTACGACCTAGCATGGCTGGTGGAACACAGCTTTTCCACCGTATCAAAATCAAAAACCCCATTCTATTTGTGGGACAAAGAAGCCCTCCAGAGGGAGCCACTTCCGATTGTACCTTACGACGCGTACAACGATGATTCTGGGAAGGGCATGCAAAAAACTTTGGAAAATCTTCTCAAGTATGGATTCTCCGTCATAGATGGGGTGAGTCATTGTGGTGAGTGAGGGTGTCTTGGTGAGCTAGTCAAATATTCTGATACGTTTTATTGTCACCAACTCAATAAAATCAAGTAATTTCAAGTAATGAACATATTTTTTATGCGATATTTCTTTAAGATACATATTATATCACCTTCATGTCTGCTAATATTCCTCCTCATAATGAATGCCATACATTTTATTGAGTTGGTGACAATAAAACGTATCAGAATATTACAGTCAGCAGTACTAGAGAATTATTCTATCGACTTTTTCAGTTAGAGTTAACACACACACACACACACACCCCACACACACACCCCCACCCCGATGTATTAATGTAGTATGTAGTATGTTGTAGGATGTAAAATTAAATTATCTGAAAGAGGCTTTTGATATTTTTTATATATTTTGGACCCCTCCCTTTTAGAAGTGCTCATCAGCTCTTGTTAGTGATGTCATATGGTTGTGGTGTCATGATAACCAATGATGTCACAATGGTCTGCAAAGCATTGTGATGCAATTTCATTGTAGCGATATCTCCTGGTAGATTGATATCACCCAAGTGATATCTTCTGTGCAGGCCAGTATTTAACAATAAAGATATTTTTGAAAGTTTATATTCAAAGAAATTAAACAATGTTACATATTGTACTCATTATTACAGATTGAGAAATATTAGAATAATAAGTAGTGCATTTGTTACGCGCTGTTCAAATCCACTGTGTAGTTGCTCAATGTGCACTTAATTATTAATCCGGTCAATGGTTCAGTGTGCACTCAATGCTCATTCTCATCTCACTGGGGAGTATACAACCCAAACTGCCTTTTGTGTAGATGAAATAATGTAAATTCTTACAGATTTGTCAGTTTGATGTAAATATCTATGCAGAGAACTTTTGATTCAAATGATGATAGCTGGTTTAATACGTATTTTATGACAACTGTTGACCACGTAACTGGTTGAGTGCTTGGCACTTTTGTTAACCATGGTATATGTACCATATTGCTGACTCTGGCATTAAACAAAAGCACTACAAAGGAACACATAAGTATCAATTATATATAATCCTGATTGCAAAAACTAAATATCAATTATTGATTAGAACAAACTGACGCGTGAAGACCCGGGGTAGAATAGATCTTAAGCAGCTCATGCTTGCCATAAAAGGCTCTAGCAGGATTGAGTGGTCAGACTTGCTGACTTGCTTGATGAGTGTCATCGTATCCCAATTGGGTGGATCGATGTTCATGATGTCAATCACTGAATTGTCTGGTCCAGACTTGATTATTTACAGACTGCCGCCATATTGTTGGAATATTGCTGAGTGCGGCGTTAAACAACACCCAAACAAACAAACAAGATAAGAACAAACTGCTTTAGATATTACCAATGATGATTGATAAATCCTGATTCCAAAAACTACCATTATTGCAACAGGTTGAAGCTGCCATTAAAGATACTCAGGAAGCTGTGGAGAGAATCACCTTCCTTCAGGAGAGTGTGTTTGGGCGGATGTGGAGCTTTACCTCTGACCTTCAGCGAAGTGACACAGCTTATACCAACCTATTCCTGGGTGCTCACACAGACACGACCTACTTCAACCTACCTTTAGGGTAAGCAAGAACTAGGTTCTGTTTTAGCTAGTTTCACAATGTTTGAAGTAATAGATACGATATTGAAAGACCACCATTTTTTTTTAAAATGCTGGAATGTTGGTATATTCTGGCTGAACACATATCTAATTTTTCACTCTGAGTCTCCTTGCTCACTCCTCAATCCTGAATAATTGTTAACACAGATCTTAAAATCATTGGAAAAAGGGTGCGATTTGAAGTTATTTAATCAATGAAAAACTATCGATGAGAATGAAATATAAAAAGCAAAGTTTTACTCACTTATTATAATTGTCAATGTTGAATCTGGGGACACGAGTGGCCCAGTCGTCTAAGGCGCTGCGATTCACTGTGCAGAGTTGCGTCCCTTGGGCACGCCAGAAACCTATGATTATGGGTTCGAATCCTGGTTCGCCCCAATTATGTTTCTAGGTTTGTCAGCACCATACCTGTGCTTGTGGGTTTCACCGAAGTGGTAAACGTCTGAGACCTGCATCACTTTGGGCTTTCCTCCCACATTAAGCTGACACATCATGATATAACTGGAATACTGTTAAAAGCTGCGTTAAACCCAACTCACTCACTCACTCAATGTTGAATCTGCATACGAAATTCTATTTTTTTTGCGTCCACTTTACAACACTGCTGAGACACAAATCCTGCCTACTAAAAGTGAGCTAGAGTGTGCTGGTAGTATCTTTGGAGGACTGTTAAGAGGACATATTGTTTCCATTTTGAATATACATATTGCCCTTTTTGTATGTACAAGGGGGCACAGGTGGCCAAGTTGTCTTAAGTACCACAATTTGCTGTGCAGAGTTGCATCATTTGGGCACGCTTGAAACCTGTGATCACTTCCCCCGACTATGTTCCTATGTTTGTCAGCACCATATCCATGCTTGTGGGTTTCACCGAAGTGGTAAACGTCTGAGACCTGCAATACTTCGGGCTTTCTTCCTACATTAAGTTGACATTTCGTGATAGACCCTTCAAGATCCGGGGTAGAATAGATCTACAGCAACCGTTTGCCGTAAAAGGCGACTAACGGGACTAGGTGGTCAGGCTCGCTGACTTGGTTGATGCATGTCATCGTATCCCAATTGCTTGGATTGATGCTCAAGATGTCAATCACTGGATTGTCTGGTCCAGACTCGGTTATTAACACTGCCATCATATAGTTGAAATATTGCGGCATTAAACAACAAACATGTCATGATATAACTGGAATACTATTCAAAGCGACATTTAACTCACTCACTCACTTTTTGTTACAAGGATCCAGGTTTTCCACTGTCTGTGGCATGATGGGAAGGGTGGCGATACACTGCTAGTGGATGGGTTCCATGCTGCTGAGCGGTTCCGCAGAGATCATCCTGAAGATTTCCACTTTCTAACACAAGTTGAGATTCCACATGAGTATAAAGAGTGGAACATCAATCACTTCCTGAGTCATGGGACCATTCTGAGGGTCCATCCCGGGTCAGATGATATGATGCTTATCAGGTGAGATGAACTAAAACCACACTTAAGTGGATCAGGTGAGATGAACAGGAGCCACATACTGTAGTGTGTGTAAATACTGGGTCACGGATCTGTAGTGTGTGTAAATACTGGGTCACGGATCTGTAGTGTGTGTAAATACTGGGTCAGGGATCTGTAGTGTGTAAATACTGGGTCACGGATCTGTAGTGTGTGTAAATACTGGGTCACGGATCTGTAGTGTGTAAATACTGGGTCACGGATCTGTAGTGTGTGTAAATACTGGGTCACGGATCTGTAGTGTGTGTAAATATTAGGTCACGGATCTGTAGTGTGTGTAGATACTTGGCAAGGGATCTGTAGTGTGTGTAAATACTGGGTCACGGATCTGTAGTGTGTGTAAATACTGGGTCACGGATCTGTAGTGTGTGTAAATACTGGGTCACGGATCTGTAGTGTGTGTAAATATTGTGTCACGGATCTGTAGTGTGTGTAGATACTTGGCAAGGGATCTGTAGTGTGTGTAAATATTGGGTCAGGGATATGTAGTGTGTGTAGATACTTGGCAAGGGATCTGTAGTGTGTGTAAATATTGGGTCAGGGATATGTAGTGTGTGTAGATACTTGGCAAGGGATTTGTAGTGTGTGTAAATATTAGGTCACGGATCTGTAGTGTGTGTAGATACTTGGCAAGGGATTTGTAGTGTGTGTAAATATTGGGTCAGGGATATGTAGTGTGTGTAAATACTGGGTCACGGATCTGTAGTGTGTGTAAATACTGGGTCACGGATCTGTAGTGTGTGTAAATATTAGGTCACGGATCTGTAGTGTGTGTAAATACTGGGTCAGGGATATGTAGTGTGTGTAAATACTGGGTCACGGATCTGTAGTGTGTGTAAATATTAGGTCACGGATCTGTAGTGTGTGTAAATACTGGGTCACGGATCTGTAGTGTGTGTAAATATTGGGCCAGGGATCTGTACTGTGTGTAAATATTAGGTCACGGATCTGTAGTGTGTGTAAATACTGGATCAGGGATCTGTAGTGTGTGTAAATATTGGGCCAGGGATGTGTACTGTGTGTAAATATTGGGTCAGGGATCTGTAGTGTGTATAAATACTGGGTCACGGATCTGTAGTGTGTGTAAATATTGGGCCAGGGATGTGTACTGTGTGTAAATATTGGGTCAGGGATCTGTAGTGTGTATAAATACTGGGCCAGGGATGTGTACTGTGTGTAAATACTGGGTAAGGGATGCGTAGTGTGTGTAAATACTGGGTCAGGGATCTGTACTCTGTGTAAATACTGGGTCAGGGATCTGTACTCTGTGTAAATACTGGATTGGGGATCTGTAGTGTATGTAAATACTGGATTGGGGATCTGTAATGTGGGTAATATTGGGTTGGGGATCTGTAGTGTGTATAAATACTGGGTCAGGGATCTGTACTGTGTGTAAATACTGGGTCAGGGATGTGTAGTGTGTGTAAATATTGGGTCAGGGATGTGTACTGTGTGTAAATACTGGGCCAGGGATGTGTACTGTGTGTAAATACTGGGTCAGGGATCTGTACTGTGTGTAAATACTGGGCCAGGGATCTGTACTGTGTGTAAATACTGGGTCAGGGATGTGTAGTGTGTGTAAATACTGGGCCAGGGATGTGTACTGTGTGTAAATACTGGGCCAGGGATGTGTACTGTGTGTAAATACTGGGCCAGGGATGTGTACTGTGTGTAAATACTGGGTCAGGGATGTGTAGTGTGTGTAAATACTTCGTCAGGGATCTGTAGTGTGTGTAAATAGTGTATGGCTCTATGCAGATTCAACCCCTATGACATGGCACCTCTTGATACACTACCTCCACGAGATATCCCCAAGTTCTACGCAGCATACTCCAGACTAGCCTCCTACATCAAGAACCCTGCCAACGAGTTTTGGCTCAAGCTCCACCCAGGCATGGTCCTCCTGGTGAACAACTGGAGGGTGTTACATGGAAGAGCCACCTTCACAGGGAGGAGGATAGTGTGTGGCTGTTATCTACCCAGAGATGATTGGATGAATAAGGCTCGAGTGTTCAACTTGGTGTAACTAAATGTCTTCGGCATATTGATTAGTTTTTGTACTGGAAACAAGAAATGAATGCATTATCGTTTAATAACCAAGTGCAAAGGAAATACAAAGTATTACATATTAGGCCATGTGGACTTATGGCCTCACTAGTCTGAAATGGCTGTATGGCTTCAGCTGAAACTTTGTGGCAACGCTTGTAATTTCGTTATTTGAATGCCATGTTTGATTTAAAAAAATTCTTTTTCTCCAAAACTTAGAGGGAAACATTGTGGGTGAGATGGTCACTTTACAGGGGTAGAAACTAACATTTTTAGTCCACTAGTCCTTGTAATGATAACATATAGCAAAACCCTTAAAATTGGCAATTTTCTACTAGTCCTTATGATACCTTAACTATTGGGCAGTTTGGCAAGGACTACAGGACTAGTGCCAATTTCTAACGCTGCTTTATGTGGTTCCAAGCCTGTTTCGAGGCATCTTGATCGAAAACTAATACTGGCCTCCAGCAGCCATATTGGAAACTTCCAAAAGAATATGCATCATTTGTCGTTTTAAAAATATAAACCGTATTCGATGTAATAAGCGCCCAGGGCGCTCTCAAAATTAGAAATAGGGGGCTCTTATTTGAATATTATTTTGGTGGAAAAAAGAGAGTTGAAAGATAAATTTTGTGGTTTATGCTGACACACTGAAATGTTTATATGCGACAGATACATTTTTCCAGAATTTAATTGCCCATAATTAAGAATGCATATAACACACGAGTGTGTATTATACGCGAATAAATAAGTCTTGTGTACATTGATCAATCTGAAGGAGTGCTAATTGGGATTGTTCACTTGCCAATATATATGCAAATATCGCCGTGGGCGCTTATTAGAGCGGGGCCCTTATTACTCCGAATATGGTACCCCTAAGAGACCATTGAACCAATGGATCTGATGTGTCATACTCCAGCTTCCACCAATGATCATGCCCCGATTGTGTTGAATCCAATTTTAAATATAGCCAGGTCAACAATTGAAAAATTGATTACTGTCATTTTTGTTCAAAATGTAATGAAATTTGGTATGTGTGGTTTGTGTTGAGATTCAACACATGTTCTGTTTTTTTATGCTGCGTTTTATCTTTTGACCTTGTTTTGCCAACGCTCACATGGTTAGATTATCTCAAAATGCATATTAGGCTCTGTGAACTTTCTCCTTGAATATGCTTATGTAGCCGAACCGTGGCTTGTATGTTTCGCCATATGATAAGATCATATGTTGTTCAAATCATTACATTTTAGTGTTCGACTTTAGTCCTCAGCGTTTTTAAGAAAGATTTTAATGTTAATAGTGACAGCAACATTTGAGTAAAGAACAAAGAGATTCCATTCGGCTGATTTATTTTACTTAAAACTAAGAGCCTGAATTTTTAAAAATCAAAAACATTTTGCCACAATTTAATTTTGGTGGCAGTAATTTTTTTTCAACAGTCTGAAGCAAAATTATTTTTTTCAAGAATTTTCGGGGACAATTTATCCCATAACAAACCCAACAATCAAGAGATGGTCCAGAAACCCAGTCACATGATAGAGCATTTGCTGATTTTCAAATGCAGGATATATGCTCTTTGGCCTCTGAAAAAATGTTTTTAAGGAATCAAAACGATCCCTGATAGAAGTACCTGTTTCTGAAACACTAGTATACATCATGCACTTGAAGAGCTTTTGCATTGATGCAGATAATAAGAAATAAAAGAGAAGTATATAATGTGAAAAACAATAACTGTGACCAACACAAGCCAGAGGGCTTACAGAAAATCTTTAAACTATAAAACATAAAATGTGGCCTAGATATTCTCAATGAGAAGTGACATAATGAACCCATGCTTCTGATTGGTTCAGTAAGCTGTCCTGGATTTGTTGTGAGATACTGCTACTTTACTGCATTTCCGGAAGGAATGGTAGACTTTGTTATTGTACTGTAATGTCATGGATGTTATAATGTGCTGGAGTGAGTGAGTATGGTTTTACGCCACTTTTAGTAATATTCCAGCAATATCACGGCGGGGGACACCAGAAATGTTCTTCACACATCTGGCGTGACGAGCAAACGCTTTAACCACTAGGCTACCCGACTGCCCCCTGAGAAGCAAAGCATGTGATCCTTGTTGATTACTTAGAAAGTCAAAAAACGATTACCGGTGCCTACTGATTTATTTCATCGCATGAGAGATTCTGTCAAAGAAATGCGGCGAAGAATGCTGACTGCTGGAGTTCTACTACTTCATGAAAACGCCTCTTTTCACACCTCTTGGATTGCAAAGGCTGCTGTGGCACCCTCCATACTCGCCAGACCCAGACAGTGTTTTCCACCTGTTTCCAAAACTGAAAGAACACCTTCGTGGGAAGCGCTATGGCGACAACGATGACATCAAAGCTGCCTTGAATAGTTTTTAAATGGTGACTTCAGAAACCTTCTCCCTGACTGGATTTGGGAAGCTTCACTATCGATATGCGAAGTGTATGGACAGGCTGTGAGATTATGTTGAAAAAGAAAATTAAAAACACTTTCACAATGTTGGTTTTGTTTGTTAGGCTTAGAACTTGTTGACCAGCCGTCGTACAGCTGAAACATTGTTCAAAGCGGCGTTAAGCCCCACTCACTCACTCGCTCAATCCATTTGTCGAACAGTGAGTGAGAGAGTATGGTTTTACACCACTTTTAGCAATATTCCAGCAATATCACAGCGGGTGACACCAGAAATGGGCTTCACACATTGTACCCATGTCGGGAATCGAACCCGGGTTTTCCCATGTCGGGAATCGAACCCAGGTTTTCGGTGCCACCAGCGAACGCTTTAACCACTAGGCTACCCGACCGGCCCCTGTCGAACAGTAAACTGAAGCACAATGCATAATATCACTACTGGCTCAGAGACAATACAGTTAGGCCAGGACATTCATGACATGCACATTGTGTCTGCCAGTCACTACAGTGCCTATGTCCTGCTGAGGGTCATGTTATTATGTGATTACTGTTGAGAGTAAATATTATCAGACTCTCAAGGGTTACTGTGTATCACAAAGAGGACAAAGACTGTCTTGCACAGGGCGATGTAATATACCAAGAGGCCACCACCGTGTTTGCCTATATGTCAAACACCAGGACTAGAGAAGAGCATGATATACCTCCGGTTTTAACTCAAGTTTCTAAAACCCAAAGAATCCTTGCACACACAGTGTCTGACGTGAGTATTTAAAAACTTTTCATGCAATTCATAATACTAATGGATATTGGAAAGTTCATCACCCTAATTTTGGTTGCTTAGTGCTTAACACCAGAAAGTGTCTACTTTTATGACTAAAAATGTGTGATATTGATAAAACCTTTGCGTTAGTCACTGACTAGATCGGTTGTACCGACTATAATATTAAAACTACCAGTAACATAACTGTCAGCGTTAAAGGATCGGTGCAGCTCAACTCTCTTCGTCATCCATTACACAATACTGCCCCCACTCTCAGTGATGTGTTTCCAGTCAGTAAACAGCTACTACGCGGCTGGCGGGATCGGGTGGTCAGGCTCGCTGACTTGGTTGATATACCGTATTCGACGTAATAAGCGCCCCGCTCTAATAAGCGCCCACAGCGATATTTGCTAATATATTGGCTAGTGAACAATCCCAATTAGCACCCCTTCCGATTGATCAATGTACACAAGACTTATTTATTCGCGTATAATACGCTCTCGTGTGTTATATGCACCCTTAATTATGGGCAATTATATTCTGGAAAAATATATCTCTCGTATATAAACATTTCAGGCTGTCAGCATAAACCACGAAATTTATCTTTCAACTGTTTTTTACACCAAAATAATATTAAGAGCCCACTATTTCTAATTTTGAGAGCGCCCTGGGCGCTTATTACGTCGAATACGGTATGTCATCGTACCTCAATTGTGTGGATCGATGCTCATGATGTCATGACTGGATTGCCTGGTCCACACTCGATTATTTACAGACCGCCGTCATATAGCTGGAATATTGCTGAGTGCAGCGTTAAACAACAAACACACTTACCAACATCCAATCTCGCGTTATGCCGACTGTTTGTGTGTGAGTGAGTGAGTATGGTATTACGCCGCTGTTAGCAATATTCCAACAATATCACAGCGGGGAACACTAGAAATGTTCTTCACACATTGCACACATGTCGGGAATCGAACCCGGGTATTCGGCATGACGAGCGAACACTTCAACCACTAGGCTACCCGACCGACCCTGATATAATCAGAACGGTAAGTCTATTTTAGATGACACTATTGTTTACCGTCTTCGCTGCGTTTTTTATCTGTTTACTCCAAGCTTTTTCCTGGGTACAATGTGTCAAGCCAATTTCTGGTGTCACCCGCCGTGATACTGCTGGAATATATTTCTAAAAGCGGCGTAAAAAAACATACTCACTCACTCTCTGACTCTGATTATATCAAAATAAATTTGAATACATATCTCAGATGAAATATGATACAAAATGCAGAATGTTTGAATGAATAATATTGGAGCAAAGGAAACGAAACATAGCCCAAACTGGTACCTCAAATCTTTCTGAATGAAATAAAATAAGCATTGCAGAAAATCTCAGCAACAAGGAGCTAGAACATGCTGCATTGTTTCATATAAAAGTTCGTTCCCCTGAATTAAAACTTAAAGCCATGTATTTGTAACTGCACTTTTGCACAACACAACTCCGACACTCTAGCTACTAATACGTTATATTTTCAAAGTGGGACTAAAAAATTACGAATTTAAACGTTTGAAGACGCTTTATATGCATAACTAGGTTATTATGCTTCTGAAGAAAACATTGTGTGGTGGAACTGTAGGATGAACTACCTTCTAATGGGGGATATGTGTGGTTATACCAGTTTTATGTTTCCATTCACAAGTCACAAATGATACACATGTAGTGAGTGAGTGAGTGAGTGAGTATGGTTTTACGCCGCTTTTAGCAATATTCCAGCAATATCACGGCGGGGGACACCAGAAATGGGCTTCACACATTGTACCCATGTCGGGAATCGAACCCGGGTCTTCGGCGTGACGAGCGAACGCTTTAACCACTAGGCTACCCGACCGCCCCGATACACATGTAAACATCGGGACCACATACACTGTTGGTTGAGTGTTGAGAGTATACCTACCGTCTACAACTGCATGTATGCTCAATTTGTTTTGTTTTCTTTTCGTTTGTTTGTTGTTTAACGCCGCATTCAGCAATATTCTAGCTATATGACGGCGGTCTGTAAATAATCGAGTCTGGACCAGACAATCCAATGATTGACATCATAAGTATCGATACAAGCAAATGGAATACGATGACATGCATCAACCAAGCCTGACCACCCGATCCCGTTACGTCGCCTCTTACGACAAGCATTGTCGCCTCTTACGACAGGCATAGTCGCTATTTACGGCAAGCATTGGTTGCTAAGAACCTATTCTACCCCGGATCTTCACGGGTTAATATAACTTATTTTAAGGGTCCATGCAGGCAATATATAGGATCATGCGAAGTAACGAAATGGTGATAAAGCTGGATATTTGTTAAGTGCGGCTTTAAGCAACAAACCAACACTAAAACGTGTGTGAACCAGGGTAGCCTTGAAATTGTATATAGTTTAACTAGG